CAGCTTTTGGCACCCGCTACCCACTGGAGCCGGCTCATGATGCAGATGCTGGGCGTCTGGGAACCCAGGGCTATGCGCTATCTGGTGATGGGGCTGGAGAGACCTTCCGGCTGGAGACACGCCCGGGTCCAGATGGGGCTCCGGTGCCTGAGCTGGTAGTTACAGGGGAGCTGGACCGAGAAAACCGCTCACACTATATGCTACAGCTGGAGGCCTATGATGGTGGTTCACCCCCCCGGAGAGCCCAGGCCCTGCTGGACGTGACACTGCTGGACATCAATGACCACGCCCCAGCTTTCAATCAGAGCCGCTACCACGCTGTGGTGTCTGAGAGCCTGGCCCCCGGCAGTCCTGTCTTGCAGGTGTTTGCCTCTGATGCCGATGCTGGTGCCAATGGGGCTGTGACTTATGAGATCAACCGGAGGCAGAGCGAGGGTGACGGACCCTTCTCCATCGACGCACACACAGGGCTGCTGCGGCTAGAGCGGCCACTGGACTTTGAGCAACGGCGGGTCCATGAACTGGTGGTGCAGGCACGAGATGGCGGGGCTCACCCTGAGCTGGGCTCGGCCTTCGTGACTGTGCACGTGCGAGATGCCAATGACAATCAGCCCTCCATGACTGTCATCTTCCTCAGTGCAGATGGCTCCCCCCAAGTGTCTGAGGCTGCCCCACCTGGACAGCTCGTTGCTCGGATCTCTGTGTCAGACCCAGATGATGGTGACTTTGCCCACGTCAATGTGTCTCTGGAAGGTGGAGAGGGCCACTTTGCCCTAAGCACCCAAGACAGCGTCATCTATCTGGTGTGTGTGGCTCGGCGGCTGGATCGAGAGGAGAGGGATGCCTATAACTTGAGGGTTACAGCCACAGACTCAGGCTCACCTCCACTGCGGGCCGAGGCTGCCTTTGTGCTGCACGTCACTGATGTCAACGACAATGCACCTGCCTTTGACCGCCAGCTCTACCGACCTGAGCCCCTGCCTGAGGTTGCCCTGCCTGGCAGCTTTGTGGTACGGGTGACTGCTCGGGATCCTGACCAAGGCACCAATGGTCAGGTCACCTATAGCCTAGCTCCTGGCGCCCACACCCACTGGTTCTCCATTGACCCCACCTCAGGCATTATCACTACGGCTGTCTCACTGGACTATGAGTTAGAACCTCAGCCACAGCTGATTGTGGTGGCCACAGATGGTGGCCTGCCTCCTCTAGCCTCCTCCGCCACAGTTAGCGTGGCCCTGCAAGATGTGAATGATAATGAGCCCCAGTTCCAGAGGACTTTCTACAATGCCTCGCTGCCTGAGGGCACCCAGCCTGGAACTTGCTTCCTGCAGGTGGGTAGGCCTGGCACATAGCAGGATAGGACTGGGGGCATCTGAGGGCCACAGGGGACCTCACAGCAGGAACCAAGCCTTACAAAGCCATCTGTTGATGCTGATTTAAGCTAGATGGTTCTGTCCTATCTTGAGAGCTCCAAAATCTGTGCAGACGGTAAAGGTTAATGAGAAGATGAGAAAGCAGGGTGCAAGAGCTGAGGCAGATGGTCTTGGTAGGTGAGGAAATTAAGATTGGATCTAGAGAAGAAATGATTTGTGGTGTCAGGAAGTGAAAGTCTCAAAGCTGTTCTGCTGGGCAGAAATGGAGATTCTACACAGCTGTGTGGCCTCTGTTCCCCAAAGAAGACACCAGAATTTATGGAGCCCTCCATTCCTAGTCCAGTGCTGGGTTGTGCTGAAAGAAATCCTCATCCCTACCCTCAGAGCTGAGCCTTAATTGGCCACTTGGGCTTGAACATGAGGATGAGAGATAGCAAGAATTATCTTGATATCCAGAGCAGGAAGGCCTCTCAGGGGAAGAGGCAAGAACCCTGGACAGGCTGAAGGAGACACAGACTGGCTGCAAGTCAGGCCTGGAGAGATGGAGGGAACATGAAACTGGAAAGGCAGTCTTGAGACCACGTCGCAGAAGTCCTTGAACACCAGACAGCGAGGGGTTAGGACTACTTGGAAAGCAAAGGAGGTCACTGAACTTCTTTGAGCTGGGAAGGGAATGATCAGGTTGGGTTTTTTTAAGTTAGCTAACTGGCTTTAAGGGTGATTGGATCAGCAGGTGTGATAGATCATTCCTTCATTCATATGTTGAAGATTTTATTTACCTACTCTAAGCCTGGCACTGTGCTAGGCGCAGAGAACAAAAAAAGGAGCTAGTCCTATTCCCAGGGAGGTCCCACTCCACTGGATAGGGAGACATACCAGTAACTAGTGCTGCAGTAGGTGACGTATAAAGTACTATGGAAGCCCAGAGGCAAGGCCTTGAAGAACTAATGAAACTTTGCCAAATGGGTAATATGAGGTGTACAGACAGAGACTCCAGGCCTATGGAAAGAGCTGCTGAACAAACACCAGAACGTGTTCAGGAGACTGTATTGTTCAGGCTGGCATTAGCTGCACTGAAGAGAGAGTCGGGGGTGATGAGACAAGACAGTAGACAGGGGCCAGGTCACAAGTTCAGCTTTATCTTAAAAATCATAGGGAGCAAGTGAGGGACTCTAAGCAAATCTGATACATCTTTTGGAAAGATTGCTTTGCTTGCACTGTGGAGTATGGCAACAGGAGAGAGGACAGGAGGCAGGGAGTCCTCTTAGGAGGCCAATGCTTCGCGTCCTTATGTCTCCAAACGCCACCAGACTCCTGAGCATCTCCTCAGGGGCTGCCTGTTGGCAGAGACTTCCAGGCTAGTTCTGGGCCTGGCTGACCTCTTGTCCTCTGGCCACACTCTGCATATTTGCTCGCCTGCTGCTCTGCAGCTCCCACCACCCACTCTTCCATGTGTTTACTCTCCTTCTTGGCCAGGACCAATGGGCTATGGCTTCCAGACTTCTCTCCTCACTAGTGCCTGAAGCAAGAGGGCAACTCTCCAGGTGGTTTCCTGGAGTTTTTACTATTAGCAACCATAGGGAATCAGGGGTGAAAATGACCATTTGGAGTTTATAACTGTTACAAGAAGTCTTAATATTTGATTTGTTCAGTATAAATGTATTGAATGTCTACCATGTGCCAGCCACTATATTAGAGACATAGCATATGGTCAGGAATGAGTCACCCCTGTCATCTGAAGGATTTAGAGGGGAGATTCCTGTGCAAAGAAATAGTTTCATTCCAATAAGAACATTTCCATTTGGGGATATATATGAGGTACAGATAGGCAGTATGAATGCTTTCCCGAAGGAAGGGACCCATGAGTTGAGACTTAAAGAATGAGCAGTTTATGAGAGTATCAGACGGGAAAAGACTTCCAAGCAGAGGTTACGTGCACAGAGGTTAGGTGCACAGAGGTGTAGGAGGGCCCAGCTTGTTCAAGGGCCTACCAGGGACTCAGGATCTCTGGAGTTAAGACTGGAGATCGGAGGTGGGGGATGAGACTGCAGGGAGGCTCAGCCAAGTCAGAGGGTTTGAGCTTTTTTCTATAGGGAATATTGAAGATTTTGAGTAGAGAGGCAACATTCTCAGATTTGTTTATGCAAATGATAGTTAGTGTAGAGCAGTGGTTGATAACCAGGGGTGACTTTGCCCTCCAGAAGGGATATTTAACAATATCTAGATAAATTTCTGATTGTCACAACTGGTGGGATACTACTGGCATCTAGTGGGTAGAGGCTGAGAGTGCTGCTAACCATCCTGTAATGCACTTGACAGCCCCCACAATAAAGCATTATCTGGTCCAAAATGTCAGTAGTGCCAGTGTTGAGAAACCCTCACGTAGAGTACAGATCAGAGGGTCAGACTTCTATAAGAAGGTAATTAAAATAATGCAGGGGAGCAATAACTCAGGCCTAAGTCAGAACGGTGATAATGGTGATGGAGAGGAACAGACAAATAGAGTTAATGAGGATTTACTTAATCCCTGGCTGATTGATATACCAGGTGAGAAAAAGGGAAGAACTGATTTCTGGCTTGAGCAACTGTGTGGATGGAAGAGTCATTAGAGCAGGCTTGGAATGATCATGAGTTTATTTTGGGGCAGGTTGGATTTAGGGTGCCTGCGGGACATTCAAGTGGAGGTGTTGAGCAGCCATCTGGATGTACATGTTTGGAAAGCTCAGAGTAGTCTAGAGTAAAAGTATAGACAGTGACTAAAGTGAAAGACAAGGCCCTGAGAGAGTATATAGAGTGAGAAGAAGCCAAGGAGAGATTTCAGGGAACAGTGTGTAAGAACAGGCAGGTAAGGGGATATGGAGGAAGACTGGTAGTGGGTGGTGGGAGAAGCAGTGGGTGGAGAAGCAGGAAAAGTAGCATCAAGAAGTCACAGCAGGAGAGATGGGCATGGTGGTACATCCCTGTAATCCAAGCTACTCGGGAGGCTGAGGCAGGAGGATTACTTGAGCCCAGGAGTTCCAGACCAGCCTGGACAACGTAGTGAGAGCCCATCTTAAAAAATAAATAAAGGCCAGGCACAGTGGTTCACGCCTGTAATCTCAGCAGTTTGGGAGGCCAAGGTGGAAGGACTGTTTGAGGCCAGGAGTTTGAGACCAGCCTGGGCAACATAGTAAAACACTGTCTATGAAAACAATTTAAAAACTAGCCAGGCTAGTTTTGGTGCATGCCTGTAGTCCTAGTTGTTCAGGAGGCTGAGGCAGGAGGATTGCTTGAGCCCAGGAATTTGAAGTTGCAGTGAGCTAGGATCATACCACTGCACTCAAGATGGGGCAACAGAGAGCCTGTCTCAAAAATAAAATTAAATAAACAAATAAATTGTGTTTTAAAAAGTCAAAGCAGGAGGTACACCTGGGAAGGAGTTTGGGATGGGCATATGGAATCAGTTTGGAGGCTGGTAGGAAGTTTAGACAGTTCACAGATAAGTGTCTTTCTTTTCTCCTTGAAATAGTGCATCTGAGAGCAAGGATTGGGATGGGGGCAAGAGGAGAGGGGTGAAGTTTCTTAAGGCTTTGGGGCAGAATGGGAGAGGGAGCTGACCAAGGTTGGACTAAGACATTAAGCTGAGAATCTGCTAAAAATGGAGACTATATTTGCAGTGAAACCTCTGAGCAGGGGTTGTACAGGCCAGGAAATTCACTTCTGCCTTGCCTATTTCCAGTTAGTGGCCCCTGTGCCTTTTGGGGTCACTTCCTGACAACTTCCCCTGACCACTGTTTATTGCTTTCTTCCTGCAGCGAGTCAGAGGGCAAAGGTCTTTAACAGCTTCTGGAGATGGTGTCACAGCTGTGCTGCTGCCTGCCATGATTGATGCAGGGGAAGTCCGTCTCCTGGGATATCCGGGCCCACAGCCACAGTAGAGAGTTGGAGCAGGAGCTGTTTCCAGGGTTCAGCCATGGCAGGGTCTTGGTGTCTCTCAGGAGAGTAAACACTGGCACAGATCATTTCTGTCAAGGGTCTGGGCAACAATCAGAAATCCTTGGCCAGCTTTCTCTCTGAGCACACTTTCTGGCTGAGAAAGGGGAACTCTCCAGCTTCCTCTTGCAGCATATCATGACCCTGAGGTCCTCATGTCCACAAAGAGTACTTTGTCACAGGCTACAGTTGTCAGCACCAACTAACTCACTATTGAGGGCCTAATGTATACCCATTGTATAAAACTTAGTGCGAAAGAAGGTTTTGTGACAAGGTAGGACAATTTACTCAGTGAAAAAACACATGTAGAGCACCTATGTACCTTGCACTATACTAGGCTAAAGATACATGAGCCACACACCCATAAATCTATAGAACAGATCTTATAGTGATCAGATCCCAGTATTAATCAGATCGACTCTGTGATGATCAAACCTATAACAACAGTCTCAACAATTCCATTGTCAGTGAGTTCTTGGCTTGGGTGATTATGAGACTTGGTGAGGGTATGAACTTCCTGGACCCACCTGGAATTTGAGGTCACAGCTCTTTTGTCTTTTTAAGTATAGTTGGTCCTCATTATTTGTGAATTCTCTTACTCTCTAAAATTTATTTGTAACTCCAAAATCAATGCTAGCATTCCTGAACATGGGCAGATAGATGAAAAATTTGAGTCACCTAATATTCACATTCCCTACAGGCACTGAACAAGACGATGTTCTTCCTTCTTGTTTTAGCTCTCATGCTTGTAAACAAGTGTCCCCTTTATTTATTTTTTTTTTGTATTTTTTTTTTTACTGCTTTTTTTCTGGTGATTTCACTGTTTAAATGGTCCCCAAGTATAGTGCCGAAGTGCTGTCTAATGTTCCTAAGTACAAGAAGGCTGTGATGTGTCTTACGGAGAAAATACATGTTAGATAAGCTTTATTCAGGCATGAGTTACAGTTGTGTTGGCTGTGGGTTCAATGTTAATGAATCAACAATGTATATTAAATATAAGATGTCTTTAAAGAGAAACACACATCAAACAAGGTTATGTATTGACCAGTTGAAAAAAAATGTTATGGCTAGAGGCTCTCAGAAACCTAAGTGGTGAGGTCTGGGCTGGGATCAGGTTTGGGCCCATGTCATACTCGTCCTTTCTGTGTGTCTGCCATCCAGAGACTCTAGGCACCAGCTGCTCATTCTAATCGCCACCTACCTCTGGCTTTTCTAGCCAAGAAGAGGGAACACCACTCACCCCAGCCTCTCCCTAGGTGACAGCCACAGACGCAGATAGTGGCCCATTTGGCTTCCTCTCCTATTCCTTGGGTGCTGGCCTTGGGGCCTCCGGATCTCCCCCATTCCGCATTGATGCCCACAGCGGTGATGTGTGCACAACCCGGACCCTGGACCGCGACCAAGGGCCCTCGAGCTTTGACTTCACAGTGACAGCTGTGGATGGGGTGAGTCGGCAGACCATGGGCAGGTTGGGATGTTGCGGTAGGGCACTCACCAGGGCCAGATAAGGCCCACCTGACCTATGGCTGCATGTCCCACTAGGGAGGCCTCAAGTCCATGGTATATGTGAAGGTGTTTCTGTCAGACGAGAATGACAACCCTCCTCAGTTTTATCCACGGGAGTATGCTACGAGTCTAAGTGCCCAGAGTCCACCAGGCACAGCTGTGCTGAGGGTGCGTGCCCATGACCCTGACCAGGGGTCCCATGGGCGACTCTCCTACCATATCCTGGCTGGGAATAGCCCTGCACTTTTTGCCTTGGATGAGCAATCAGGTGAGGATCCTCCCATTCCTGGAGCCTTCGCCCAGGCCCCCGTCCCCACCTGCCTAAATGATGTCCTACCCACTTCCTTCTAACCTTTCCAGCCCTATTATGTTTCCTTATATATCTCTGCTTCTATCCTTCCTCCCAGGGCTTTTGACAGTAGCCTGGCCCTTGGCTAGACGGGCCAATTCTGTGGTGCAGCTGGAGATCGGGGCTCAGGATGGAGGTGGCCTGCAGGCAGAACCCAGTGCCCGAGTGAACATCAGCATTGTGCCTGGAACCCCCACACCACCCATATTTGAGCAACTACAGTATGTTTTTTCTGTGCCGGAGGATGTGGCACCAGGCACCAGTGTGGGCATAGTCCAGGCACACAACCCACCAGGTATTATTTAGCTTTATACCCACTTGGTGCCAGACCCAAATACCCCAGTATAACCCTCCAGCACCATCTGAAGTTACCTTAGAGTATCACGGCGCAGACAGCCCCAGTAAAAAACACTCTGGTACCAATGCCCAACACCTCCTTAGGCACGGTGCAGGCACACTGCTTCATGAGGCACATGAATGTCACCTCAGTGCCAACCAACTTCTTTGCCAACCCCTTCCCCTCCTCCTAATATTTTGAAAGCCATGGGTGTGGGCACTGCCCAGTCCTTCTTGAGATCAGAGTCTGGCTCCTGACTCAATGATTGCCCCCCCTCTTTGTTGACCCCCTTTTTCCTCCTCCCTAGGTCGTTTGGCACCTGTGACCCTTGCCCTATCAGGTGGGGACCCCCGAGGACTCTTCTCCCTAGATGCGGTTTCAGGGTTGTTGCAAACACTTTGCCCCCTGGACCGGGAGCTACTGGGACCAGTGCTGGAGCTGGAGGTGCGAGCAGGCAGTGGAGTGCCCCCAGCTTTCGCTGTAGCTCGGGTGCGTGTACTGCTGGATGATGTGAACGACAACTCCCCTGCCTTTCCTGCACCTGAAGACACGGTATTGCTACCACCAAACACTGCCCCAGGGACTCCCATCTATACACTGCGGGCTCTTGACCCTGACTCAGGTGTTAACAGTCGAGTCACCTTTACCCTGCTTGCTGGGGGTGGTGGAGACTTCACCGTGGACCCCACCACAGGCCATGTACGGCTTATGAGGCCTCTGGGGCCCTCAGGAGGGCAAGCCCATGAGTTAGAGCTGGAGGCCCGGGATGGGGGTTCCCCACCACGCACCAGCCACTTTCGACTACGGGTGGTGGTACAGGATGTGGGAACCCGTGGGCTGGCTCCCCGATTCGACAGCCCTACCTACCGTGTGGACCTGCCCTCAGGCACCATCCCTGGAACTCAGGTCCTGCAAGTGCAGGCCCAAGCACCAGATGGGGGCCCTATCACCTATCACCTTGCAGCAGAGGGAACAAGTAGTCCCTTTGGTCTGGAGCCACAGAGTGGGTGGCTATGGGTACGGGCAGCACTGGACCGTGAGGCCCAGGAGTTGTACACACTGAAGGTAATGGCAGTGTCTGGGTCCAAAGCTGAGTTGGGGCAGCAGACAGGCACAGCCACCGTGAGGGTCAGCATCCTCAACCAGAATGAACACAGTCCCCGCTTGTCTGAGGATCCCACCTTCCTGGCTGTGGCTGAGAACCAGCCCCCAGGAACTAGCGTGGGCCGAGTCTTTGCTACTGACCGAGACTCGGGACCCAACGGACGTCTGACCTACAGCCTGCAACAGCTATCTGAAGATAGCAAGGCCTTCCGCATCCACCCCCAGACTGGTGAGCACAGAGACCCAAATCCCAAGACCCCATAGCCTTATCCCCAGCCTGATGAACATCCAGACAGGATCCCCAGACCCCAGCTCCCATCTCGCCTCTAAGAACAAGCACTTAGCCTTGGCATTCCCTCCCCCAACCCCCAAATCCCAGCTTCTTAGGTGCAGGTCTCAGGCTTTACATCCCTAAACATCTTGTACATGATCTCCTTCTTGCACTCCCAGGAGAAGTGACCACACTCCAAACCCTGGACCGTGAGCAGCAGAGCAGCTATCAGCTCCTGGTGCAGGTGCAGGATGGAGGGAGCCCATCCCGCAGCACCACAGGCACTGTGCATGTTGCAGTGCTTGACCTCAACGACAACAGCCCCACCTTCCTGCAGTCTTCAGGAGCTGCTGGTGGCGGCCTCCCTGTACAGGTATGTGAAGTGGCAGGACTTTGTCCTGTAGAAGTGTGAGAGGCAGTGGGGATCTCCCCATAGAGCTATAGGTATAGGTAAGAAACTGCCTCCTGGATCAGGTGTGAGAGCAGAAAAGAGGTTCTGCTTGCCCACAGGTGAGAGAAGCTTTATCCTGAGTTGTCTAAAGAACAGGAAAGAGACAACTAGGTGAGTTGTGTTCCTACAGGTACCAGACCGCGTGCCTCCAGGAACACTGGTGACGACTCTGCAGGCGAAGGATCCAGATGAGGGGGAGAATGGGACCATCCTGTACACGCTAACTGGTATGGGAGTGGAGAGAAAGGAATTGGTGGATGATGACATGCCCTCATGGCCTGCCCAGCTCTGGGCCCCAAGCCCTCATCTTCCTTTGCCTGTCCCCAGGTCCTGGCTCAGAGCTTTTCTCTCTGCACCCTCACTCAGGGGAGCTGCTGACTGCAGCTCCCCTGATCCGAGCAGAGCGGCCTCACTATGTGCTGACATTGAGTGCTCACGACCAAGGCAGCCCTCCTCGAAGTGCCAGCCTCCAGCTGCTAGTGCAGGTATGGCTGCCCTTCCCACAGTCTGCTCACCTTCCCTTGGTTACCGCTGTAGGCACCCTGCCCCCCAAGAAGCTAGAGCTACCGGGGGCGCATATACTAGTCCTTGGGCCCCACTAGTAGGCTACTTTGACCACTCTTCCCTACCACCTGGGAAGCTAGCCCAGATCTCCTTTTACACCAGCCCTCACTATTCCGTTCTCCCTCCCCGGTCCACAACAGGTGCTTCCCTCAGCTCGCTTGGCCGAGCCGCCCCCAGATATCGCAGAGCGGGACCCAGCGGCACCTTTGCCTGTCGTGCTGACGGTGACAGCAGCTGAGGGGCTGCGGCCCGGCTCTCTGTTAGGCTCGGTGGCACCGCCAGAGCCCGCGGGTGTGGGGGCACTCACCTACACATTGGTGGGCGGTGCCGACCCCGAGGGCACCTTCGCGCTGGATGCGTCCTCAGGGCGCTTGTACCTGGCGCGGCCCCTGGACTTTGAAGCGGGCCCCCCATGGCGCGCGCTCACCGTACGCGCGGAGGGGCCGGGAGGCGCGGGTGCCCGGCTGCTGCGAGTTCAGGTGCGCGTGCAGGACGAGAATGAGCATGCGCCCACCTTCGCGCGCGACCCGCTGGCTCTCGCGTTGCCGGAGAACCCGGAACCCGGCGCAGCGCTGTACACTTTCCGCGCGTCGGACGCCGATGGCCCCGGCCCCAACAGCGACGTGCGCTACCGCCTGCTGCGCCAGGAGCCGCCCGTGCCCGCGCTTCGCCTGGACGCGCGCACCGGGGCGCTCAGCGCTCCGCGCGGCCTGGACCGAGAAACCACACCCGCGCTGCTGCTGCTGGTGGAAGCCACCGACCGGCCCGCCAACGCCAGTCGCCGTCGTGCAGCACGCGTTTCTGCGCGCGTCTTTGTCACGGATGAAAACGACAACGCGCCAGTCTTTGCCTCGCCTTCACGGGTGCGCCTCCCGGAGGATCAGCCGCCTGGGCCCGCGGCGCTGCACGTGGTAGCCAGGGACCCGGACCTGGGCGAGGCGGCACGCGTGTCCTATCGCCTGGCATCTGGCGGGGACGGCCACTTCCGGCTGCACTCAAGCAGTGGTGAGAGTTGGGTCTTGGGGTGAGGGCGCGTAAGGTGCTGATGCGAAGTGTTGAGGTCTCCACCAACCTGCCTTACCGCTCACCTAGGAGCGCTGTCCGTGGTGCGGCCCTTGGACCGCGAACAACGAGCTGAGCACATACTGACGGTGGTGGCCTCAGACCACGGCTCCCCGCCGCGTTCGGCCACTCAGGTCCTGACCGTCAGTGTCGCTGACGTCAATGACGAGGCGCCTACTTTCCAGCAGCAGGAGTACAGCGTCCTCTTGCGTGAGAACAGCCCGCCTGGCACATTTCTCCTCACATTGCAAGCAACCGACCCAGACCTGGGTAAGACCTGGGGGGATAAATCGTGAGTGGGATGGACTGGGGCAAGAAAAGCATTTTTACCCACTGATCGCCCTCCATGTTGCCCCTCCTCAGGAGCCAACGGGCAGGTGACTTATGGAGGCGTCTCTAGCGAAAGCTTTTCTCTGGATCCTGACACAGGTGTTCTCAAGACTCTTCGGGCCCTGGATCGAGAGGAGCAGGAGGAGATCAACCTGACAGGTACATGTTGACAGGACCCCAAGAGCCTGAGTGGGGTGTTGTAAACACCCGTGCTACATGGACAGAAACCCCAAAGTACTACCTTCTAGAAGTTTTCGCTTATTACCACAAAGCTCCTGTTACATTTTTAGACCCTTTTGGGGAGTCGAGAGTTTGGCAGGGTGCAAGGTGAACTGACTTCTAGACTGTCACGACTGTGACCATACAAATTCTAAAATGCATAATGTCACAGCTATGCCCTCCAGGCCTCCCTCATATACTGCAGCCATTTAACAGAGGAGCATATTGATACTGAATATTGGAGAGGTAAAGTGACTTGCCCAAGCTCATGCAGCTTGGAAGTAGCAGGGCTGGGACTTGAACTCAGATCTTTTCATACCTCATTTAGTGCCTTTCCTGTTACACCACCACTAGTCCAAGATATATCTTGCACGCACCAAGCATGGGAGGTAGGACACATGTGTGTTTATGTATGCATGACACGTGTGCCTGGGAAGTGTGCAGAGATGGACATTTTCTGGTTTGTGTGCACCTGGTGAACATGTATGAACACTGTGTGGTATGGATTTCTCCATGTGATGAGAGCAGGCTAGACCTCATTGATTTTGCTTCCCCACAGTGTATGCCCAGGATAGGGGCTCACCTCCCCTGTTAACTCATGTCACCGTTCGCGTGGCTGTGGAGGATGAGAATGACCACGCACCAACCTTTGGGAGTGCCCATCTCTCTCTCGAGGTGCCTGAGGGCCAGGACCCCCAGACCCTTACCATGCTTCGGGCCTCCGATCCAGATGTGGGAGCCAATGGGCAGCTGCAGTACCGCATCCTAGGTGAGAACCTTCCCACTCCCACCAACCCAGCACCCACTTGCCTGGATCTTGCTCCTTCTTGGCTGCTGTCAGCCTCATTGAGTGTATCTGGGTCTCCTTTTTTCTCTTGATGTCGTCCACCTTTTCTTTCATGCTTATATCAGCGTATCTCTGTATCTCTTTCCATGCTCTTTGTCTCCCTCTGTGTCTCTGTTTCTGTCTTCCTCTTTTATTTCTCATTTGTCTATCCCTGTAGAGCAGACATTCTCAAACTTTTTTGGTGGATTATATCAGTATTTATGTGGATTATATCAGTATTTACTGTATTAGTTATTAAAGCTGAGATAATGTTAAAATATGATTGTGAAACAGGCCAATGAAGTATACAGCTTGCTGGTATTTCTGTGTAAGCACAAGGAAATGCTAAGATTTCAAGTAACAATTTGTTGGACAGTAATGAATTTCAGAGATTACAGCAGGTATAACTGAAGATAGCTAGAATAAACAATCTCTGAAGACACACACATTCATGCTTTTATCTAGAATATGTTAGAAAATACAGGAATACATAAGAACATATTCCATTAACCAAGACATATCATCACATGTCACAGAGCATCTGCTAATTCTACTGTACATCTGTGAAATAATGAGAATAAAAAGGGCATATAATGGCTTAGTAGTGCTATGAAATAATTTTATCTTAGGCATGTGAAAAGGACTTAGGAACTCCAGGGGATCCCAGATCACACACAGATGATGCCAGCTGCTTTATAATATCTTCTGTTACCTTCCATTTCCATTTTTCTCTGTTTCTCTCCCTTTCTCTCATGTGTTCACTTGCTTTTGTGCACATGCATGCACTCGCTCTCCCTCTCTGCTGTGGCCTATAAATCACCCCCATCCCCATGACACATGTATATTTATATGTGCATGCCCTTCTCTGCAGATGGGGACCCATCAGGAGCTTTTGTCCTAGACCTTGCTTCTGGAGAGTTTGGCACCATGAGGCCACTAGACCGAGAGGTGGAGCCAGCATTCCAGCTGAAGATAGAGGCCCGGGATGGAGGCCAGCCAGCTCTCAGTGCCACTCTGCTTGTGACAGTGATAGTGCTGGATGCCAATGACCATGCTCCAGCCTTTCCTGTGCCTGCCTACTCTGTGGAGGTGCCGGAGGATGTGCCTGCAGGGACCCTGCTGCTGCAGCTACAGGCTCATGACCCTGATGCTGGAACCAATGGCCATGTAACCTACTACCTGGGTGCTGGTACAGCAGGAGCCTTCCTGCTGGAGCCCAGCTCTGGAGAACTACGCACAGCTGCAGCCTTGGACAGAGAACAGTGTCCCAGCTACACCTTTTCTGTGAGTGCAGTGGATGGTGCAGCCGCTGGGCCTCTAAGCACCACAGTGTCTGTCACCATCACGGTGCGCGATGTCAATGACCATGCACCCACCTTCCCCACCAGTCCTCTGCGCCTGCGCCTGCCCCGCCCAGGCCCCAGCTTCAGTACCCCAACCCTGGCTCTAGCCACACTGAGAGCTGAAGATCGTGATGCTGGTGCCAATGCTTCCATTCTGTACCGGCTGGCAGGCACACCACCTCCTGGCACTACTGTGGACTCTTACACTGGTGAAATCCGTGTGGCCCGCTCTCCTGTAGCTCTAGGCCCCCGGGATCGTGTCCTCTTCGTTGTGGCCACTGACCTTGGCCGTCCAGCTCGCTCTGCCACTGGTGTGATCATTGTTGGACTGCAGGGGGAAGCTGAGCGTGGACCCCGCTTTCCCCGGGCTAGCAGTGAGGCTATGATTCGTGAGAATGCACCCCCAGGTGGGTCCCCAGCCATGTCTCTCCGATTCGAACTCCAAAATGGGCTGGAGTTGCTCATTGAAAATGTCCCCCAAACTCTCCCAGTCTAGTGCTTACAGTCCAACAATACTGTTCTTTCTGCAGGGACTCTTATTGTCTCCCCCAGAGCTGTCCATGCAGGAGGCTCAAATGGACCCATCACCTACACCATTCTCAGTGGGAATGAGAAAGGGACATTCTCCATCCAGCCTAGTACAGGTAAGAAAGATGAGCAAGAGCTCTGTGCAGGACAGGACAGGCTACTGGGGAAGTAGGTTATTTGTGTCAGAGGAGCCTTTGATGGGTGAAGGGCTGTCCCTGAGTAAAGGGTCTCAGAGAAGGAGGCTCCAGGGCAAGCAAAGGGGGCTGTCACTGATGCATTCTGCCTCCCCCAGGAGCCATCACAGTTCACTCAGCAGAGGGGCTGGACTTCGAGGTGAGTCCACGGCTGCGACTGGTGCTGCAGGCAGAGAGTGGAGGAGCCTTTGCCTTCTCGGTGCTGACCCTGACTTTGCAAGATGCCAACGACAATGCTCCCCGTTTTCTGCGGCCCCATTATGTGGCCTTCCTGCCTGAGTCCCGGCCGTTTGAGGGGCCCCTGCTGCAGGTGTGGGGTGTGATGGAAAGATGGGGGGCAGGGCTAGTCAGACTTGTCTGTTACTAGACCAGTGCCAGCAGCCTCCTACCCTCACCAGGTGGAGGCAGATGACCTGGATCAAGGCTCTGGAGGACAGATTTCCTATAGTCTGGCCGCATCCCAGCCGGCACGTGGATTGTTCCACGTAGACCCAGCCACAGGCATTATCACTACCACAGCCATTCTGGACCGTGAGATCTGGGCTGAAACACGGTGAGGCCTGGCCCTGTGGACCCAAAACCCCATCTTGGGCCTGTACAGTTTGAAGTCCTGCCTTCAACCCACCTTGGTCCCTTGACCACATCCTGAATTCCCTAGCCCTAAGCTCTGTCCTGAGTCCTAGCCCTGCCCAGGGTTCCCCCTTATTGCCATACCCCACCTGATGATTGTGCTTTGTGTCCAGGTTGGTACTGATGGCCACAGACAGAGGGAGCCCAGCCTTGGTGGGCTCAGCTACCTTGACAGTGATGGTCATTGATACCAATGACAATCGCCCAACCATCCCCCAGCCCTGGGAACTCCGAGTGTCAGAAGGTGAGGCTGAGGAAAGTGGGTGGTA